TCTAGCGATTTAATATTTCTTGATTGATTTTTTAAGACTACCGAGGAATTCTAATAGAGAGTGTTGATTCAAGTAGTTACATTCAGTTTTAGTCGAAAATGAAGACAGATTATTAATGTATTTTCTATGTTCTGTATTGTCATACATAATTATCTTTTAATTCGTAATCATTAGTTTTTTTTTAGTCAATATTTAGCTTCTCCAAAAAATCTTCATCAAGTTTCTTCTTCAACTTGTGCGAGATTTATTGACTTTGTTTTTTAATAGTAACAACTTCGTCATTGTTTTTTTCACTAAGAAAACAGAAATATTTGATTAGTGTGTGAATATACAAGAAGCATATTACATTTCATTACAAGTAACAAAAGATTCAATACACGAGTGCTCGTTTTATTGCTTCTTTGTTGATGACATACAAAATATATAGCATATTCATTTTCAATCGAACTAAGAAAAAAGAAAACGAAAAAAGCATTACAACTTTTTTCAATCATCTATATAATGAAGACTGAAATCGGAAAAAAAACAATATAATCTTGTCAGACAACATTCTACTCGCATGTCGATAACGATATGGCAAAAAAATGGATGGATTGAAGACATGCACGTTTCTTTTTGTTGTGTAAAACACGTGATTGATGAAAAATATAGAGTTAGAATTTTTACATGATATTTTTCGTCAAGAAAATGTTTTAACTGTTTAACTGCAAATCAAGTATATGTGGATGATTTGATATATAAAGTTGAATAATGAAAATACACAAAAAAAAGATAAGTTTGTTTACTCTTTCTCTCAGATAGTAGACGAGAGAGATTTATTCAATAAATCTTTTCAAATTAAACTATCGCATAATAACAAATAAATTTATAGAACGTAGAAAAAGTACTGATAGTAATTAATATTTGTTTCCCATATTTCTACGTCTATCCATTCAAAGTTCAGTTTCGTTGTTTTCAAGAGCCAACAGCCAAAGCTCAACTCAGAATCTTTTATGTCTTCTTTGATGTTTCTTAATCATACTATGTAACTCGAAAAATAATTATCATAATAAATATTATTTCTATGATTTCGAACATAATCAAAAATAGATGATTGCCAAATTCATTGAGTTCTTTACTGTAAAGATTGGCATCGATCAATATATTTTCAATTGTTTTTTTTGTACAAGCAATTGTCAATATATATATATATTACTTTTTCATAAACAACTCAATCCTCTTATTCACTTTCATACACTCTTTTGATCGCTGTCATATTAGTAAGCAAACTCTTGCTTTCATATATCTTCTATTTTTACGAAACAAAAATAATTTTCTTCGATTATAGGAATCTTTTTTTAGAAATGTTATATTTCAATGTATGTATTTGATTTTTCTTTATGAATATTGATCCTTCACATTTACCAACGTTTATTACTTTGCTTGGATCCCTATATTCCTAAGTCTCTATAAAATATTATATCGAGATTTATGTTTGAATAAATCAGTCATTGGAAGAAAATTCGTTCAGATCCATTTCTGTTAATCAAAATAGTGCATTACTATTCTATTTGTTAAGACTTGTTCTGTTTCACTTTAAGTTTTCACTTCATATCACCATTCAAGGCATAGAAAAGATGTTTACAATATTATGTTAGAATATTTTTCATATTTGTCTTTTAGATTCTTATTCATTGGTATCGATAACAATGAAATAATGTTTCTAGGTCTATTGATATTATTTTCTTGTTTCATTTTAACTGATGAAAAACATTTCAATGGAGGAACTATCGATTGGGCACCCGTTGATCCTTATGATAATTCCGCTTCAGTTAAAATTACGATTAAACAGTCGTATTCATGGACATATCCATATGTACAATGTGCCAATAATGTACCAATCTCGACTAGTACATTTAGTAGTTCTAACACTAATCTGATTTGTACGGCTGACTGTTCGACTGATGGTGGTTATTCTACTACACCTATTGATATTCTCACCGATTGTACATCAGCTAGTTCATCATTGAAACTGATGACAAGTGAACGATCGAAAAATGTTACACTATCTGCTGGTGCACATTTTTATTTAGCTTATAAAGGAAGTGCTTGGGTATCATTAAATGATCCTCCTGAAAAAGGACTTGAATGGTCTATTGTAACATATATTGATCTTCGCAAACGATCAGATGGTTTCATTAATACTCCACCTGTTGCCAAAGTTATTTCTCCACAATATGCCATTGTTAATAGAACAACACAAATTCAAATTCCTGTTTCGGATGTGAATGCTGGTGATGATGTCCGTTGTCGATGGTCGACATATACAGCTGGATATCGAAGAAGAAAACGATCGAATGACAAAGCTCGTGAAATCCGAAAATATAGTGCTTGGAATTACCAAAGAATAGGTGAACTTTCGGAAGACATTCATATGAGATGGAAAAGATGGTGGTGGAGCGATCCTTGTGATACTTCGTGTGCGTACAATTGTCCTTGCAGCGACGCTACGTGCATAGGAACTAATTGTGGCAGCACAAACTGTCCTATATCCAATTGGTTTGGCGGTTGTACGGCCACAAAGGCTCCACCCACTACTACAATTGAAACTCAACCAACACTAAAAACGACTTTGTCCTATTCCAATCGTCAGCCGATCGATGAATGCGGTGATATTTGTAATCCAAATACTGTACCTTCTGGTACAAGCCTGTCCAACTGTACGATATCATTTACGGGCCTTAAAGCTGGTATCTGGTATGCAGTTTCTGTTCAAGTAAGGCTATGACAGTTCCCTATCCTCAAAAATCGAACTTAGACCAGATAGATTCAAATTGCATGAAATTTTCAGGATATGTTAGGACTATAGTGGAGAAGCTATGCTAAAATTGTTAGCCCTATAGAACGACGTTTTCAGCAGATCTTCATCAAACAAGAAAAAAAAATAGCTCATTTGGAAATTCAAAATTCTATGTGAATCTTTACTGTATATATATATTAATTTTGTTTTTATTTGAACAAACATATCAGACCATCGTACTTGATAGAGTTCTTCTTTTTCAATTATTACTTTTTATACGAAGAACATGGATAACAAGTTCAACAATTTGAAAAACTCTCAAAAAAATGGCTATTTATCGAAGCACAATTTTATACAATAATAAAAAATTTTAATACGAAAAACGAACATGATCAGGCAGGACACTTTCACATGCTGTTCTAGACAAAAAAGAAGAAGCAATTGACTAGAATGAAGCTTCTTCAAGAATTCTGAACAGCATGATCTGAAAAAAATTAACAGAAAAAAAAATCTGCTGTTTTTTCAAGCAGAACGTGACGGAAATCATCGAAAACTTTTGAAAAAACTATATGACAAATAAAAATTCATATTGTTCGTGAAAGATTTGACGTCACACTGTCCTTCTTCATATTTATCTTAATTCCAACAGAAATGAAGATATTTTGAAATGAGAGTCTGAATAAAATAGAAACTTTTGTTTTGAGAGAAAATTGTTTGATTTTTTATGTTTAATACACGTTAAAATCATTCTACATTAAAACATATTTTACAACTTTTTATTTTTTACAGGTCGAAGATTTTATTAACAAAACCAGTACGACACCAATGAGTTCCGTACCAGTTCAACTTCTGATCTATGTTATGTCAGAACCATCATGTTCAACGAAACCTATTATTCTTCCATTAGATCGTTGTTTAGAAGTACGAGTTGGTGTTTCACTAAGTTTTAATCTATATGCTATGAATTTATGCAATCCTAATGTGGCTCTACTTGCTGATATGGTGGTTTCAAGTAGTATTACTGGTATGACTAATGGTAATTTAATAAATTCAGCTACAAACACATCACTGTCTTATGTCAGCTTCGCATGGACACCTCAAGCAAATCAAGTTGGACAACAACAACTATGTACAATTGCTTATACCGAGTAAACTAATGTTTTTCTTATCATTTTCATCATTGTAAGATATTTTCTTTTCTTTCAATTAGTGAACAAGTTCAATCAGATCAGTATTGTGTCACATTCAATGTAACATCATCAGCAGATATTTGCATAACAACGACAACAACAACAACTACAACGACAACAGCAACTACAACAACAAAAACCACATCAACTAGCACAACATCAACAACTACAACAACGTCAACAACAACTACAACGACAACAACCACGTCTACTAGTACAACATCAAGAACAACTACAACAACTTCGGTGACAACAACAACTACTACAACGTCAACCTCATCGACATCGACTACATCAACTTCATCCACATCAACATCATCAACTTCATCCACATCAACATCATCAACCTCATCGACATCAACTACATCAACCTCATCGACATCAACTACATCAACTTCTACAACGTCAACATCATCAACATCAACTACATCAACTTCATCTTCTACAACTTCTACAACAAGTACTTCAACTTCAACTACAACTTCTACAACGTCAACTTCATCAACATCATCCACATCAACTTCATCCACGTCAACATCATCAACAACATCTACATCAACTACATCATCCACAACTTCTACGACAAGTACTTCAACTTCAACTACAACAACCTCTGTGACAACAACAACTTCGACAACCACAACAACAACAACTTCAACAACAACAACAACAACAACAGTAACGACCACAACAACGTAAGTAACTAATCATAAGAACAATCAAGTCACATATCTATCATTGCTAATCATTATTAAATTTGTTATGCCAAATGTATGTGAACTTTAAGGATCTGTTTTCAGTTACAATATTATTCATGTAAGAGCCTATCGGATAATATTTGATGTGTAATAGTCTATTTATATTAAGTAGTATAAAATTGAATTATGTTTGAAATTAATTTGAATAGATTGTTATATTTTCATGATTACTATTTTTTTTCTTATTTCTTTAGAACGACAACAACAACTTCAAGTAAGATTGATTAAATTTTTATAAAGTTTTTGAGATTTGTTAAATTGCATATACTGATTAATGTAATCTATTGAATTCTATGTCAGATACTAAATAATCTATGATTTTATAATGAAAAAGATTGCAGAAGAAGAATCCTATAGTATCGAAATTTAATTTATTCAAAAAGATCAAACATTCTACTAACCTTTAAGATAATGATTATTTTCTTGAAGCTATCATGGCTGAGTGACTGCGTTGTTAGGCATGTATCGACAAGGTATTATGTGCAAACCTCAGTGCCAGTAGCCATAGAATAACCTTAGACAAATCATTAACGACTGTTTGTCTCGAGTCACCTGTTCGATAGCGTACTAAATATATTGTGACATACATCTATTCTTGGCAAGAACTCTGCGTCAGATCGACCTTCTATCTAGAACTACAGCTAGTATTAATTGTAAGGAAGATATTAAGCTATTGAATCTCTCGCTCGGTAGCACTCCATACTGTAAGGTAGCTGTCCTATAATCTTTATTTATTCAATACTTTTTCAAAATAAGTTTCAAATATATTGTTTGCAAAGATAATCACTGTTGAAGTTTTAAAAAATCGCAAGTTTTAATATGAAGTCAAAAATGATTATTGTTCTCATAATATAGTAACATTTGGTTATTCAAACTCTTATATATTATATATTGATGCATAGAATCTCCTGTGAATTGGTTATTAATTTTGGGTATATCATTATTGGCATTATTGCTTGCTCTATGCTGTAGTTGCTGTTGTTTATATCGATTCTGTTGGCAAGTTTTTTTTCTTTTTTTGACAACTTAATTTGTTAATATTTGATTTCAAATAGGGGTCCTTCTGCTCGACGCCGTCGGTGCAAAGGAAGAGAAGCAAATATTACAGTGGAGACTTTTGTATCACGAGATATATCTGATATGACATGGCAAACACAATCTTCTACTCGAAACTTAACTACAAAAACCTTAAGAAAAACTTATCCTGCTTATGATGTATCGCATACAACAAACAGTATGAATAATGATTTTGTCTCTGACTCACATATAAAATTATCTAGTGTGACACCTCCTGAAACGATAAATATTACCACAGATGTAGAAGAAAGTAGACCAAGATCATTAGTCTCTGTTAAGAGAATTAAGCGTAATCAAGTTGAAACAACGAATGACATTGACAATACGAATGAAATTGAAGATATAGAGATAAAATTATCAGATGATCGTGGTGATGACAAGAGAACAACTCCGACCGTGCCCAATTCAGCATTTATGCATGTTAACGTCAATAAAAGATCAAAAGTCGATCAAATAGATGAAAATGAAAAAAAGAATTCGAAAGTTACTGATAAAAAATCATCAAGTGTTTCAGCTGTGTTACGATCAAAAATTAGTCGAATCAACGTCAAAAGAATATCCCGATCAAAAACAGCTACAAGTCAACAATTGCTTTTATCAAATATTAATGATGAAAATATTGTCCATTTGAAAAAGTCAGCTATGGAAATGCAATCAATAAAACCTCACCTCAAGACAAGTTCAGCTGCCATAAATGAAATAAAAAATAAAAATAAAAGAGTGATTGTGACGAAACTTTCAAAAAAGATTACTACTGATAAATCTCATCATTAATAAATGTCAATGCATATTTAATACTAAATTATTACAGAGTGGATGTGAGTGTGGGTGTGAGGGTGTGGATGGGTGAGTGTGGGGTGCGGATGTTGATCTTTTCTTCAACTGCACCCACACCCGCCCATCCACATCTACTCTAAAACAAATACGAATGAACGGAAGTTTGATTTACCTGATTCGACAGTGTACCTTGAATCAGGACAATATTTGGCTGTCGGTTTCAGAAAAAATAGTTCTGCCATAGCAAAATGCTTTGTTGGATCTCATTCCTATTATTCATTTAATCTCGACACAGTCAATAAAGCCTATTCGGACAATAAGTCTATCGTATTCTACAAATGTAATCGGCGGAGTGTAGCTATCAGTTTTTAATTTGTTCCAAGTTCAGGTAAAATCGATTTTTTGTGAAATAATCTCTGTATAGAAAAATTCATGCCAAGGAAAAGAGCCTAAACTTGGTGTTTGATTTCAATATCAAACGTCATTCAAGTGTATTGAAGAGTTTTTTCTGATCAATAGAGACCTTGATATTGAAGGTGAAATTCGAAAAATAACGCCGATTTTCACACTTTAGAATACATCCGCGATAGTTTTCTCTGGTCGATTTTTCTTGCACGCTATAACTTGATCGTCTGTTTATGCTCGCATAGTTAGTTAATATACCTTTTGCTGTTAAACAAATTGGTGAAATTATTTCGTGATATAGAGTACAACTGTTGCTGCTCTTTTGGCTAGTAAAATTTATCAAACAGCAATTCAATTGTCCAATGACACAGAGCAAAAGAAAGAATACACCAGAAAAGAAAAGTAAATTAAATTTTATATATTCCAAAATACGATCAATTATGTGTTTCCGAGAGTTTGATCTATATGCAGCTTGAATAATCGATAAATGTTTTAATCTGAATGAACAACTCGCTCTTCAAGTATTGACAACAGCATCAGAATTGTATTTCGGCTACTCACATCTGACATTGGCCACAGAAGTGAATAATCGGTCATTTCTGGCTACTAAATGTGTGCAAAAACATCTTGATCGACTTTGGTATTGAGATATTGATCAGCATGCCTATCACAAAATCTACATTAATATTGATCTAATAGTAAGTAACATAGGAGTCGATAGATGTTTGCATATAAAACATTGTAGATGTTTCTTTTGTGTATTTTTCCTTTTCTCGTGTCTTGTTTCTGCTTTCAAACAATACTCAAATCACCGAACAAAAAAGAAGCGTGAGTTTGTGAAGAAAATCATCGTTTTTGAAATTCTTCTTGGATGATTCATAGAATAACCGTTTCCATATCCAAGAAGGACATTCACATCATTGCTAAAATAATTGATGACAACGATATCTAGTCGAGTGTCGTTGTTAACATCACCAATAGATACGTATCGTGGCAAAGAGCCAGCTGAATACCTTGTTTTAGTTTCAAAAGAATCATTTCCATATCCAACAAGGATACTCACATCATTGCTACGCCCATTGGCAACAACGATATCTAGTCGAGTGTCGTTATTGAAATCACCAATAGCTACAGATTGTGGAAAAGAGTCAGCTGAATACCTTGTTTGATTTTGAAAGCCTTCGTAACGTTCAACAAGAATATCAATGGCACCAGTATCATTGTTTACAAAGACAATATCTAATTGGTGGTCCTTGTCGAAATCACCTACGGCAACTGAAATCGAAGAAGAAGATCCGGTTGGATGCGTAATTGAATTTGCAAATTTGCCGTTCCCATATCCAAGAAGTATGGCTATATTGTCAGCGCCTTGATTCGTGGTGATTGTGTCCAATCGATTATCTTGATTGAAGTCTCCTACCGAAATGGCAATTGGAGAAGCAGAATTGATGAAATAGTTGACTTGATTAGCGAAAGTTTCATTACCATTATTGAGGAGGGGTGTGGGTGTGGGTGTGGATGTAGGTGTGGGTGTGGGTGTGGGTGTGGGTGTGGGTGTTGGAGTCTTCGTTTTACCCACACCCACACCCACACCCCGCACCCACACCCACACCCCGCACCCACACCCACACTCACACCCACACCCACCCACACCCCACACCCCCACACCCACACTCCCACGCTCACACCCACACCCCGCACCCACACCCACACCCACACCCCGCACCCACACCCACACCCACACCCCGCCCATTGAAAGGGTGTGGGGTGCGCGTGGTTGGGTGTGTCTTCTCTTTTTCACACTCACACCCAGACCCACACTCACATCCTCAAGTCTTTTACAATGTCTTGTTACAATTTTCACTTCAAGTAGTTTTCTTCGCATTATTTCTTCGACTATTTCGAAATATTTATCAAAAGAATTAAAATTTTCTAAACAATATTGTTGAATACTTTAAATTTCAGTAGAATTCTTATTCAGTTTTTTGTCGAAATGAAGGATGTAAGTCGATGGTGATATGTGTGTAGTTTAAGAGAAGATACACAGCCTCGAGACTGCCCATAGCTCATTATCATAGGTTCTTCTGAAACGGAATCGGAACTAGACAATACCAAAGCTCCTTCAAGAATCGTTTGAATTTGATTTCGATAATTTTTTATGATGTAAAAAGTTCTTGTGTAGTCGATAGAACAAGTTATTGGTATGAAGAAATTCGGTGACACACAACTCATCGCAAAATTTTCTCATATTAGAGTTCGAATGTCTATTGGCTCACTTTTTCTCTATGACAAAAAGAAAATTTCGATAAACAAGTTGAATGCGATAGTATATGAAGGCATCGATGTATATTTTCTTGTTATAACGACAAGTAATAGAAGGAAAGTTTAAAAAACATATAGAAGAAGCACATGGTGAAAAAACAGAACATATATAATGACAAGTGTATACCAACAAAATCTGCAGCCTAACTTATGAAAATGTCATGCTTCATTGACGCATATCACAAGACATAAGTGGGAAAAAAAACCAAGCAATTTTATTATCGATAAATAACATCATACGACCAGTTGCAAATAGCTATAAAACGATATTCATACACTACAGTATCATTTAACACGTAAGTATACTTGATTTTTAATTTACTTAAGTGACATTCCATGCGATAATCAAGCAATTGGTAACAGCGCAATATTTGAAAAAAATTGACGTCCTTCACTTTTATATTATTGCACACTGTAAACTTTAACTAAATTCTTTTTTCTTGAAGATGGAGTGAGCAAAATCTCAAACATTTTCAGATTTTAATTAATTAGGAAACGATCTTATAATTTTCAAAAAACTCTTTAACTTTTCCAGAGCAGAATTTCAATCTATTTTTCTGAAAAAGAACTTATCTTCGAACCAATTGAAATATCAACAACAATTTTCAAAGATGTTTGAAAATAGATTCTAAATTCATAGAAAATCAATCTAAATTCTACAGGAAGGAAAAAATCAATATTGCTTTTTGAGATGTCATTATTTCAATGACGATCACAGAATAATTATTTAGTTGTATGTATATATGTATACATATATATGTAAGTGTGACGAAGTCAAGATTTTATTTTCCTTCGTTAGCTACATCGAGAATGTGAGTTAACCAATGTAGCTAGCGTATACTAATCCTTCGTATAATAAAGAAAACAAGCAATGAATTATTTTTTGTTGATTATGAGAGATAGGTAATATAATTCTTTTTCTGGAGATATAAAATCAATTATTCACTTTGAGACATTTTTCTTATATAACAAAAACCGTTCATTTTATATAACTACATTTTCACTAGAACTTCTGCATATTTAATTAAATAGATAAAAGCAGTTCTGCAGTAGCTGAAGTGCTACTTTTGTATAAAACTATAGCCTCCTTCAATCATTATTTTTTCTTTTTAATATGGATAAAGTAACATGCTCGATAATAGTGAAATTTTTCTTATTTCTATTTATGCTTTTAGTTTATAGGGAGAGTTGAAACTAAAATAAAATCAGTATAGACATGAAAGAACAATTTATTGTAGAAATGAAAACTGACAGTCTATTTTCTATTTTCTACAAAGTGTTTAGAATGCAAAATCGAGTTCGATGTTCTAAAAATGTCTATATGAATACGAGAGTGATTTTCTAACTAGAAAATCACAACTCAGATTTCGAACTTGCTCGAATATCGTATTTTCAAGAACGTAGATATTCATTGTCATATTCGCATAGACAATCTTAGAGTATCGTTTTCTATTTTATGATATGGTAAAAAAAAATCTGAGTTTAGAATCTTATGCATTCCAATTTTCAGCCCATTAATTTGTACCTATCAGAGATCTAAACAGGCGGGTGTGGGTGAGATATGGGTGTTGATGAAGTGACATTCCAACTTCACACCCACATCTACTAATCTCTGATGAAGATTTATTCTACAGTTGCATTTTTTTCTGTGATATATAAATGATCTCGCTAGTGCTATGAAGTTTATCACAAACAGATGGAATGAGAAAAATACTGCTGTCTAATTTATGGTATTTCGTCAGTTTCAGAAACGTCTCTTGGATATGTCCTAAAAAGTTTTTATAAATGTTATTCGAAGTTTGAACTCGTTCTGTAATATTC